TAATGAGGCAATCTGTTCTATTTCCAGAACAATTCGTAAGGTGGATTTTGTTCTTGAATAGTCATCCAGGAGATGTGATGACATTTGGTTTTAAGTCTGACCCCTCCCCCCCACCAGAATGAAGAATTCTGATGTTGAAAACTTGCACAGATTTGTGTGGTAAAAGCCTAGGAAAACAAAACAAAGCTCTGAAGAGTGATCTGTCCTAGAGTGGTTAGAGGAGGGGTAACTTTGGTGTCATAATTTCTTTCTTCCTTGGTGTTGGAATTTAGTCAGTTGAGTAGCATTTCTGTGTCACAATGTAAGCTTTAATTAAAAACAAACAAAACAAAAACAAAAAACAAAACAAAACAAAACAAACAAACAAACCAAAAAATCCAGGGGCTGGAGAGATGGCTCAGCGGTTAAGAATATTGGCAACTCTTCCAGAGGACTCAGGTTCAATTCCTAGCACCCACATAATGGCTCACAGCCCGCTATGATCAAACGCCCTCTTCTGGTCTCCTCAGGCACTGCATGCATGTCTGCACAGATCTTTTGGTAGGCAAACACCCAAATACATAAAACTAAATAAACATTTAAAAATTATTTTTAAAAACCATGAAAATAGGCACAGCATGTTGTTGTACGTCTTTAATTCCAGCACTTGGGGGCAGAGGAAGGTAGATCTCTGTGAGTTCAAGGCCAACCTGTTCTACAGAGTGAGTTACAGGATAACCAGAGCTACACAGAGAAACCCTATTTGGGGGGGGGGGGGAAAAACCAAACCCAAAGCAAACCATTAAACCTATTTATAACCTTAATAGATTTTTGGTTGTAAGCCTAGTCTTTAACATTTGAACCATCTCTCTAGCTGACCCCCACCTTAAAAAAAATATGTGTATTGGTGTAAAGATGTCAGATTCGCTGCAACTGGAGTTACAGACAGTTGCCATGTGACTGCTGGAATTGAATTCGGGTCCTCTGGAAGACCAGTGCTCTTAACTGCTGAGCCATCTTTCCAGCCTCTGTAAACTTGGTTATAATACACGATTATTTATTTTTACATATGTGCTTGTGGAGTTCAGCAGAGGGCATTGTATCCCCTGGACCTGGCCGTTGAAGATGGTTGTGAGGCTCTATGAGGATCCTGGAAGTAGAACCCAGGATCTCTTTAAGAACAAGTGCTTGTAACCATGGAGCCAACACTCAAGCCCCATAATACATTACTTTTTACTATATATGTACAATTAAAGATAATAACCTTTTAAAAAGATTTAGCTTGAAAATCAAAATGAAAGCAAAACAAAACAAAATCCCATCTATAACACAAAGAAACAAAACAGAACAAGAAAGAAAGGACAAAAAGACATTCGAGCAGGGTGAGATGGAAAGAGTACTTGAGCCTAGGCATTCAAGGCTGGCCTGGAAAGTAGATCTTTCTCAAAATAAACAGAAGATATTTAACATCTAGAGAGAGAATGCATGTGATGGAGGCAGAGGCTGAAATCAGAAACTGCAAGTCAAGGAATGCCAAGAATTTCTAGGCAATCACCAGAAGCCAGGAAGTCACCTCCCTCACAGGTTTCAGAGAGCATGACCCTGTTGGTACCTCAGAATGTTTTTGAGGTGTTAGGAACTGGGGATTAAACATGGAGTCATGTATACTAATCATGAGCTCTGCTACTGAGCTATGTATCTTCAGCCCCAGAGCTGGGAAACAATAACTTTCTATTGTTTTAAGCTATCCAGTTTGTGGCATTTATATTGGCCCAAAGAAATGACAACTGATAAAAATGTTTTTGTGGTACGGTTTGAATCTGGGTTCTCATTCATTCTAGGAAAGCACTCTACCACTAGGCTATATTTCCATCCTCTTTTTACTTTTTATTTGCCCACATCATTGCACTCTATACCCAGGCAGACCTCGCCTCTCAGAATCCACAGTATCAGGGAGCACGAACTACACTACCACACACAGTTCCCATGTGGCTTTAATCTATGTTTTTCATTTTATTTTTCTCTGTTCAGCATTCTAGATAACTTCTTTAGTTGAATATTCTACTTTACTTGCTCTTAGATGAATCGATTGTGATTTAAGTGTTTTTTTTTTTTTTCTTCTGTTTGTTTTGTTGTGTGGAGATAGGATTTCTTTGTTTACAGCCCTGGCTGTTCTGGAACATACTTTGTAGATTAGGATGGCCTCGAACTCAGAGAGATCCATCTACCTCTGCGTCCTGAGTGCTGGAAATAAAGATATGTATCACCATTGCCTGGTATGACTGAAGTTTTAAAGATTAGTAATTCTTTTAAATATTTATTACATTCATTATTTTTTGTGCATGTGTGTGGACACATGTGCCACAGCATGCAGGTGAAGTCAGAGGACAACTTGAAGAGTTGGTTCTCCTTTTATGATGTGAGTTCCAGGGTAGCCAGAACTACACAGAGAAACCCTATCTCGAAAAACAGAAACAATTCACCCCTCAAAGAAAGAAAGAAAAAGAAAATCCGAATCACCTCTGGTCCCAGCATTTTAGGTAAGAGGTACTCAGTCTGTACTATCTAAATTCCATATGGGTAAGACTTGGGATGAGTCATCTTGAGGTCAAATTCTCTCCAGCTAAGAACCAGAGAAGTTACATGCTTTCAGGAAACAATGGCAGGACATACACAGGATAGATATTTCATGACAAAAGAGATAAACTGGAAAAAGGAAGGGGGCCAGGTGCCAAGCAAACAACCACAGTGAAGAGTGCTAGGTGTAGTGTCTGTCACATGCTTGCAATATCTTCATTTTGGAGACTGAACCAGCTACTGTTGTGAGTTCCAGAACATCCTGGGCAGTCCCCAACACAGACACACACACACCTTTAGCAAGGCAGACTTCTCCATACTTACTATGCAGATAAGTATCTAAAAATAGTTAACAATGGCTTTCCTTGGGTGAATACCTATATATCTAAGAAACAAAATCTCAATCTCAATTTCTGTCTGAATGTCTGTATATTTGTGTGTACATGCAGAGGACAGAGTAGGACACCAGTTGTCTTCCTCTATTGTCCTCTCTCTGCCTTATTGCCTTGAGTCAGGATCTCTCACTGAATCAGAAGCTCATCTTTTTGCCCAACTTTTGGGATGAGCCTGTCTTCCTTTGCCAGTGCTGGTGTCTGGGTTTTATGTGGGTACTGGGGATTCAAACTCAGGTCCTCAAGCCTGCAGAGCAAGTCCTCTTACCCACTAAGTCCCATCTTCCCAGCCCCTGAAATGACACCTTTGAAGATTCTTCTCTGGTTGCCTACAGTCACCTAATAATTGGTTGTCACATGTGGGATGTATGGACCGGGAGTGAATTCAGAATGGCCAAGGAACTGTAGTGATCCAAGTGCATTTTGGGAGGGAACAATTAGAGACTCTGGGAAGGAAGGACAAAACAGAATTTGGTGAATGAATGGGAATACTACAGATGGCTTGGGGAAAATGTTAATGGGATTATGAAGAGCTGGTTAATTATGGTGGGAGGTTAAGGATGAGTAAAACAATGAGTCTTAGCTCCTCTCATCTCAAAGGCATATTAAATTAGCTTAATAAACCCTGGGAGCGTGGGAATTAGTATAATCCACACCACCCTTAGATTTTGACTTTGAGATTGCTTATCTACATCTTAAAATTAATGACTGTGTGTTAACCCTACCTCTGTATTTTTACCTGCACCTGACAAAAGGAAAGGTTGAGATTCAGCACCAGAAAACTGGGTTGTCTAAAATAAGGCAGCAGCTGCTTCGTAGTTCGCCTTGCTTGGTGAGAGGGCTAAATAAAAAAAAGGTAACGTGGTGAAGCATTTGGCACAGCACACGCACCGCATGTGGACACCAGGTTCCGCCCACGCTCTTCCTCCCTGGCAAGATAGCGGCGGAAAAGCCACCTACTGAGAGGGTCCTTTAGGATGACCGCTTGGACAGCCCAGATGACTCAAGAGTATTGCCTTGCGCAGCCACATTTCGCAAAAGCCAAGTGTGAGGGGCAAGCTAACGTCTCTTGGACAAAGGTGCCGAGGCAGCCGAGGCTCTAAGTGACAAGCCCAGAGTTATTTCCTAAGGTGGCGGCGATCCCAGGGTTCGGGTAACGGGCCTGCCAAGGAGGGGGCGGGGCGACTCCAGGTTTGGGAAAGGCCACTCCAGTGCTGGGGCTTCCAGCAGTCCACGTCCTACGGCAAGCAGGAGGAGACAAACGCCGCCCCTCCTCGCCCGCACCTTCCTCGCTCGCTATCGCGGCCCCGGCTCTCCAGTGGATGCTCGGCCGCGGGTGTGTGTATGTGAGGGGCGGCTCTACGTGTGCCACAACTCTGCCTCGGCGCCCAGTTACCTTCGTGGCCTCGAAGCGCCGCGCGACGCGATCCTGGGGCGCCGTCCCCCAGAGCCGCGTCGCGAGGCGCTCCCCAAAGGGACGAGGGAAAGCCCGGCGGCCCGCGAGAGGGAGGCGGGGCGCGGCCGCCGCGCGGGCCCCCGGGGGCGGGGCTAGGTGTGCGCGGAGGGCGGGGCGTGGTGACGTCGCGGGCGCCGGTCGTGCTGTAGCTGTGGCTGCTGTGGCGGCGGCGGCTGTGATAGTGGCGGCGGCAGGGTGTCCGGGAGGCAGCGGCGGCAGCGGCAGCGGCAGCGGCGGCCCTGACGAGAGTGAGGCGGCCGCGTCGGGAGCCGCCCGCGCGCCAGGCGGGACGTCGTGCTGTCCGGCGATTGCAGGCGCCGAGGCATTTGCGGTTTCCTACCCGGCTCGGCGCTCCCGGCCCTGGCTGGGCAGGGCAGAGCGCCCCTGGGGAGGGGCGGAGCTGTAGGTGAGGCTTCGGGACCCCTCCCCCTCCTGATCGAGCGGGGAGTGGGGGGGGGAGGATGGGGAGGTCGGGAGGGCGGACCCCGCCCCAGCGCACCGGAGCCCACCGGCGACCGCGCCCTGTGGAGCTCCGGGATTGGGCGGGAGCGCAGGCGCTGGCGGAGGGGACCTCCGCTGTGGGAGGTGGGGGCTTCTGGCATTTCCGAGACCCGGAGGTGGGAGGCATGATGTGGGGAGGCGGGGATATTCGGGGGACGACGACGACTTGGAGTTGGGGTGCGGCCAAGGTGGATCTGATGTAAAATGTTTAAGATGATCTTTTTATTATTTTGGACCTGGTGAGATAGAAGAAGAAAGGTTGTATTTCAAAAGGAAAACGAAGCGTGGATGTTGCCCTCGAGATAGCTGGAGGGGCAGCTTAAGCAGATCTCACATTGCCACTTTAGGGCTTTGGTTCTTTTCTTGACCAGATGAGTGGAATTCGCAGAGGGAAGAGTCCCTTTGCGTTGACTTGGAGAAGGTAAATTGTGAGCGTGAGTGAATCAGATTTTACATACAGGAGGAAGATGTTGGTGTTTAGACAACTTCATTCTGTAGCAACCATGAGGAAGTATGTCTTACTACTGTTAGCCTCTTAAAAGTGCTGTCTTCCAATTTTTAAAAATTTCCTGCCCCGTCTTTTGCTTGATCTCTTTGTACCATTTTTAATTTATAAACTGAAAACTGAACCTATAAGAAAAGGCCGGGGACTCAGTTGCTTTGCCAAGCACATTTCAGAGTAATAGTTGCAGGTGGTTGTGGTTGATGACTTTGAGTGGATAAAACAAACTGAACAGTTCTGTTGGAGCAAATTTATGTGAAAATTGTTTAAGTGTTTTAAAGTGCAACTGTCTTTTACACCTTGTTTTTTTGGTAGACCTTGATACATTTTGTGTTCATTGTATTCATTGGAGGAGATTATTTTTGGAGTTAAAAAAAATGGACTTAAAGTGTGTGTATCTATGTGTGTGTATGTGTGTGTGTGTGTGTGTTTGTGTGTGTGTGCGCGCGCGCTTTGAGGTCAAAGGACAGCCTTTGGGACTGGTTCTCTCTCACTGTGGATTGCTGGGATCAAACTTCGGTTGTCAGACTTGTGCCATAAGCACTCTTTCATGCCAAGTTATCTGGCTGTCCAATGTTTCAGATTTTTTTTTTTTTTTTTTTTTTTTTTTTTTAAGGCAAGAGGCAAGGACTCACTCTAGACTCTTCTATCTTAGCCTGAGACTGCAGACATGACCTATTTGGTGGGTGTCAAGTAGAAATTACCTATTTAAAAACCAGTTTAGAATTTATTGCGTCTGAGAAAATCTTGCATTTTATTTTATTAATCAGCACCTATTACTTGGCTCAGCAGTTAAGAGAGTTTACTGCTCTTCTGGGACCTGAGACTGGTTTCCAACTCCTGTGTCAGGCTGCTCACATTGCCACAATCTGGCTGTAGGGGATCTGACTTCCTCTTCTGGCCTCCTTGGGCATCTGCACGTCTATTCACATCATTCACACTCCCCACACATATAACTTAATATAAAATCTTAAATATTTTTGCTAGTTGAACGTGGTGGCTCACACCTGTAATTCCAGTGCTTAGGAAGCTGAGACTGGAGGATTGCCTTGAGTTTGAAGCCAGCCTGGACTACATAGTGATTTCCAGATGTGATTGAGCTGTAATAGATTGTCTCTTTTTTAATGGTTGTTTGCTTCTCATTCTCTATCCTATTATTGAGTCCATTGAAGTTTGTTTTTCTTCATTACTAAAGTCATAGAGGATTATGTCAGTCTTGTAGTCCAGGTTTAGACTGGAAATGTAAAAGTGAAGGTTTTCACAGAAACAGCTGCTGTCTTTATTATGCCCCTTTGTAGGAAGGAGTATGAGAGCTGTTAGATGCATTTTGTATATAAGGTGTCAGAACCACTGATGGAGAAAGAAGCAGAGAACAAAATGCCATGTGTAATCAAATAAGTAGTCCATCAGCTATTTTGAGAGCCATGGGCCATGATTATGTGGGATATAATTGAACTGTATGGTGCTTGAGGTTTTCCATGTTTTGGAGTGTCAATTCTGGAATTAGAGTGTTTAATCCTAGCCTTGCCATTGTATAGTGTAGGACATATTGCTGTTTAAGCTTAGTTGTTTTTTTTTCTGTTTTTCAAGACAGGGTTTCTCTGTATAGTCCTGGCTGTTCTGGAATTTGCTCTGTAGATTAGGCTGGGTTTGAACTCAGATCTGTCTGCCTTTGCCTCCTCAGTGCTGGAGTGAGAGTGCTGCCTTACAGTGTGTGCCACCATACTTGGCCTTAACCATAATTTCTTTAAAAAAGATAATTTTAGTTATGAATATATGGTGTATGTGTGACTTTATGTATACTGCATGTGTGCAGAGGGTCATACGAACTGAAGTTGTAGATGTAGCGCCTGATGTAGGTGCTAGGAACAGAACCTGGGCCCTCTGCAAGAGAGTAAGTACTCTTAACCATTGAGCCATCTCTCCAGTCAAAACAATATTGGCATGTAATTAACATGTCTGTTAATACCTTTACAACAACTTATTTTTTGAGCATTATTTTCATTCAGTTAAAATGCATATATTAAAGGCTGGGAGATGTTTCAGTAGCTAAAGGTAAGCCAAGCTGAACATTTGAGATCAATAGCTGGGACTTACATGGTAGAAGGAGAGAACGGACTCCTACAGATTGTTGTGTGGATTCCACTTGCTCATCATGGCACACCTGCACCTATGTACACACAGACACAAAATAAATAATGTAATTATAAGAGCAATACACATTGAGCATGTATTATATATCAAGTGTTTTAAGTGCTAGGACTCTAGTAGGGAACAAGCAGACAAATATCTGAAATCTCATTTATGCTAGCTAAGGAAATATGATACAGTAAGTAAATGAATAAGTTGCAGACATTGGATGTTAATAAGCATTGCCTTAGTTCTTTTTCTTGACAAACTTTTTTGAAGGGTATTTTTTGTGTCTGTGGATGCCCCAAGAGTAATAGTTCATGTGTTTTTCTTTACCATTTATTGTTGAGCCAATAAAGTCTGTGAACCCCCCCCCCCAAAAAAAAAAAAAAAAAAAGAAAAAACAAAACCAAAAAACCCTTACAAAAACAACTTTGGGGAGAAAGGATTTGAACTATAGTTCCAGAGGGATACAGTTGATCACGGTGGGGAAGGCTTGGCAGCAGGAAGGGAAAGTGTGGTGGCAGTAGCAAGGCGCTTGCTCATCACATTGTGTTTGCACACAGGCAGCACAGAGTGAATGGGAAGGGCTCTGGGCTTATGTAAAAAGCTTCAAGGACTAAAAAGGCTTGTGCCACCACCTCCTGGCTTGGGAGGCAGAGAGAGGCAGATCTCAGTGAGTTTGAGGCTACCCTGGACTACAAAGTGGGTTCCAGGACAGCCAGGGCTGTTACACAGAGAAAGCGGCTTTGTCTTTTTAGTTCTCCACCTCCTAAAGGTTCTACAATCTTCCCAAACAGTGCCACCACTGGGGACCAAGTGTTCAAACATGGGAATACTTGGGGGGGCATTTCAAATACAAACAGAAATTTTGCGAGGATAAGTATGTGGGTGGGAATTTTCGTGGTTTAGAAGCCATTGAGTTAACGGTTGTGAGCTGCCATGTGAGTGCTGGGATTGACTCCCCTCTTCTGCAGTCTCGTTAGCCCTCTGGTTTTTCTGAGTCCTGGGCCAAGTGACAGTCCTACTTCTACCTTCTTCTACCGGAGTGCTGGGATTTCAGGCATGCATTACTATGTCTATTTTTTTTTTTTTGTTTTGTTTTGTTTTTCCTACCAGTAAAATTTGGTGCAATTAAATGCTATTTAGCCGTTCTAAAATCACATAAAATATTTCATTTTCTGGTCTAATGATGAACTCTGGCTTTATTTTAGACTGGACTATCTAATAATGATGAACTCTGGCTTTATTTGAGAATAGACAATCTAATAGTTTTGAACCCTTATCAAGGGAAATAATGATCATTAGGGCTCCACAGAGATTCACTGAGTCACGCCAGACAACACTAGTTTCATAGAATGAGATGGGTTACTTGACTGATGAATAGAAGAAATGTGGTTGTCATCTACTGGATTTCAGCTACATCTTTTCATGCTGTCTTTGTGGAAAATGTGGAAAAAAAAGTCCTATATTTCATTAGGACAGTGACTGTCTATCATGTGTTCTCTGCAAAGCAAATAATAGGTAGTTACTATATTTGATGAATGAATGGATAATAGTACAAGTAAATGAATACACAAGTGATTGAATGGCTGGAGCCAGAAAATAGAGTTGCTTACTGAGGATGGAGAGTTTGAAGAACTGATGTGAAAGGACTCATTCATGTGTGTGTTGAAACCAGCAGCATGGGAGCAGGAGTAGGGTGTGGAGCATAGAGACTGCTGTGAGTTTGATGCCTGTCCATCATGATTGTTAGCCATCAGTGAGGGGGAGAGGGCAAAGACTGTTGACTGAATAGCGTGAGAATCACAGTAAGAGTGTTCATGAGGATTTAGGAATAATGGTCTAGTAAAGGCCATTTCTCAGTATTGGGTGTTGTGGTGATTTATTATTTATGATTTATTGAAGCTTGCCTGAGGGTACAGAGAGCAAAGCTAGCTACAAGCCTCAGAGCCAGGAGGTGGCGATACACCTTTTATCCCAGCAGCAATACTAGCAAGCCACAGAGCCAGACAGTCGTGTCACACACACCCTTAATCCCAGGACTAAGGAGATATGCAGATGGATCTCTGTTAGTTCAAGGCCACATTGAACTCTTAGAGAATTAGTCTCCAGCCACGCTGAAGCAGGACAGCCCTTTCGGTCCCAGGTAGAGGTAAGAGGTAGTGGCTTTTCTGATATTCAGCTTGTACACCAGTATCAGTCTCTGGGTTTTTATTGTTTGTGTTACAGGGTGTGGCATGAGAAACTGAAAAAAGGCCGGCTGGAAGTGTCCTGATTGGAAAGCCAGTTTTTAGTTAAGGCAGAGAGGTAGTGAGAGCATTTCAGAGTATGGAGAACTTTAGCAGACTTCTCAAGAACGTATATTTTTCTCACTTGGCTTCTTTTTCTTAGCTTAAACATCTCTTTTTGAGAAACTCCACACAATTTACTGTTCTAAGTTGTCTCAGCTTTGTAGCCAAACTTTGTTGTTTGATTTTTAAT